GGCTGTATTTCTTCTATTTTCTGCCTCATTACTCTCATCGCCTGTCAGCACAGCTCTTACACTCTAATCTGAAATTCCACGGATTAAACTGGCAGCCAACTCTCCATCCATAATTCTCCCATCCCCTCCCCCTTTTCATCTCATGCACACAAACACAGAAACCCTCTGAGTTCTGCCAGACTGGTCATTTTGAGGCCACAAAGGTGATGTTTGAGAGGGAATAGTGGGAGGGACGGGATTAGATTTTTTTTTGGTCCAAATTCAAGAAATGACTAGAGGGGGGTGACAGATAATCAGGAGTGTGTGTCTGTGTGTGATGTGTAAGAAAGTGTGAGGGGCAGAGTGAGTTAGAAAGGGAGGGGAGGGGGACGGTTGAGTCCTGCAATCAGAGCCAGAGTGTGGCAGCAGCAGGTTGTTTCAGCCCAGATATGACCCCACCCGCCCCGTCAATCTCCTCCAGCCTGATCGTCCCACCACATCCCTCCAAACGTCTCCAGGCTCGGCGGGACAGCCCTGCAGTTTAGGAATTAATGCATCATCATTATCATCACACACCTGCTTCACGTCTCAGTGGACCAACAGGACCACATGTCCTGAGAGGAAGGGTGTTTGTTTCTGCCTCCTGCGTGGGATGCTCCGGATCCAGGATGACTTTGGGAGTTTTATGTGACGTTTGAGCAGAGACGCTGGACGGGGACAGGAGACACCTGGGACAAAGTGCTGGGACCACCAAATAGGGGAGGTGGAGAGGAGGCAGGGGGGTTGCAGGGSATGGGAAACGTCAACAAGGCTTCTAAGAAGGACAGTAAAAGGAAAAAGGTAAAGGAGAAATACAACTATCAAGTAAAGAAATGTAACAACTAACAACAGTTTAAAAGRTCCCTTTACTATCTCATAGTTTAATCTTTGATTTACAAATTAATTCTAAATGTTGGGACTTTGTGTAAAATTTAAATGCACTGATTTGTAAATCTCATAAACTCATATTCAGAGTTGTAAAGTAACCAAGTACAAATACTTCTTTACTGTACTTACTGTAAGTAGAATTTTTGGGTATCTGTACTTTACTTGAGTAAATATTTTTCAGCCTACTTTTTACTTCTACTTAACATTTTCACACAATTATCTGTACTTTCTACTCCTTACATTTTTTTAAAAGGCAAGAAGTGGAAAGTCGTTACTTTTATTTCATTTTTGCTTGTTTTCAATCCAGCCTGTTGTAAAAAATTAATGCTATCCATAGAAACTGTGCCTCCTAGATAGAGTGAATTTAATTGTATATATAAACTAAAACAGCTTGACT